TGAAGTGATAATAGCACTTTATAATGCTTTGGTAAGACCACCCTTGGAATACAGCATCCAGTTCTGGTTGCCAATGACTCGCCACAATATAAAAAAGTCATTGAGGCTCTAGAAAAAGTGCAGAGAAGAGCAAGAAACATGATTAGAGAGGACTGGAAGATAAAACATACAAAGAACAGTTGCAGGAATTAGATATGTCTAGTCTAGTGAAAAGAAGAACTAGGTGTGATATGATAGCAGTGTTCCAATATCTAAGAGGCTACCACAAAGAAGAGGGGGTCAACCTATTCTCCAAAGCATTTGAAGGCAGGACAAGAAGCAATGGATGGAAACTAATCAACCAAGACATTTCCTGACAGTTAGAACAATCAATTAGTGGAACAACCTGCTTCCAGAACTTGTGGGTGCTCCCATACTAATGGCTTTTAAGAAGAGATTGGACAACCATTTGTCTGAAATGGTATAGGGTTTCCTGCTTGAGCAGGGGGTTGGGCTAGAAGACCTCCAAGGTCTCTTCCAACTTTGTTATTCTGTAATTGCTTAACTATTTTTCATTTAGTTCCTATAACTCTGAAGCCCTATATTGTCCAAACTGACAGTTCTCTTCAGAACTCTTAATAAAAGATACTTGTCAATTGATTGGGAAGCAGGAGAACTATCACCATCTAGTGGCATGTCTCAATGCAGTAGTGAATGACCACATGATTTTTAAAATATTTAATATTATTAAATATTAGTTCATACATGCTAAGTTTAAATATTGGTTTACTGTTTTACATTTAGCAAGTTGTGTGAACCCAATCAATCACGGGTTGAAAGAATCATGATTAAATATAGGAATCCTTGACTTACTACTATTCATTTAACGATGACTCAAAGTTACAACAGCCTCAGAAAAACCGACATGATCTGTCCTTGAAGTTACAACTGTCATACCACCCCCATAGTCACACAATCACAATTTGGGCACATGCAACCAGCTGTCATTTAAAAGAGCTGCAGATCCTATGGTTATGTGATTGTGATTTACAACTTTCCCAACCAGCTTCCAATAAGCAAAGTCAATTGGGGAAGCCAGATTCTCTTAACAATCATGTGATTCACTTAACAACCACATTAACATTGTTGTACAATTGGGTTTGGTAATATGATGATTCACTTAACAATTGTATCATTTAGGAACCAAAATTCTAGTCCTAATTTTGGTCGTAAGATGAGGATTACCCATAAAGTTCACTATGTGAAAAGTATATATGCTAGAGCAGTGGTGGCAAACCTATGGCACGGGTGCCAGAGGCGGCACTCAGAGCCCTCTCTGTGGGCACGCGCCGTCACCCCAGTCCTAGGCCTTCAGCTGGGTTTTATAAAACCTTTTCACTTTAGGCCTCCGCCGCCGTGTGCAAAAAAAAGCGGTTCAATCAATCAGTCAATTTCAACTTCTTACAGGAAAAAAAAAGATCTTACAAAGTTGGAATTGATTGATTGAACTTTTTAGTCCCACCCAGTCTGCTGTTACCATTGCAGCCACGCCCACCCAATGGGCCACACCCACCCAATGGGCCACACCCACCCGGCACCCAACGATACATAAGTGGGTTTTGGGTTGCAGTTTGGGCACTCGGTCTCTAAAAGGTTCGCCATCGCTGTGCTAGAGATTAGCAATTTATCCTAATTTCAAAGATCTGTCTTCAGGGTATGAGTGACCAAGTGACTTTGGTCTCTGGTAGCCAAAAGGGAAGCATGGAAATAAGAGATGGGAAGAGAGAAAACGATAGAAAAACACAATATATTGTGGCAGTGGGAATGAAAAGAAGGGTTGCAACCACTTTTACATTAGGTCATCCCTGTTTCTGTTTTTGGCCTTCCCCACTGCTAACATGGTTTCCTCGAAGGGAATGGGTCTCATGACAGAAAAAAAACATTCCTTTAATGAATGTAATGACTGTGAGGAGATGCTAAGTTTTTACACAGTATTTCTCCCTAAGGCCAGAGCAAGGAATAATGTTTTTTTCCCTGAATGTAAAGCTATAAACACTGGTTGAATCTCATTAGAGTATGTTGTTGCCCCTAAACTTTATGATCTGAATAACTCTTTATGAATAAGAAGCTAAAGCAACTTAGCATAGTACTGGAAACAACACCATTCAGACAGAATTATCTTTTCAGGAATGGCCATTTTAATTACAAGCAACTGCAAGATTTTGTGTTACTTTTTAAAGCCAAAACTCTGATCTGAACTGTCTTTTCACTTGTCTTTTGTTTCAGTACAGGTTCTTGATTTATGACCACAACTGAGCCCAAAAATTCTGTTGTTAACTGAGACATTTGTTAGGTGACGTTTCGCCCCATTTTACGACCTTTCTTGCCACAGTTGTTAAGTGAATCACTGCAGTCATTAAGTTAATAACATGGTTTAGTGAATCTGGCTTTCCCATTGACTTTGCTTGTCAGAAGGTGATCACATGACCCCGGGACACCGTGACCATCATAAATATGAGTCAATTGCCAAGTGTCTGAATTTTGATCATGTGACCATGGGGAAACTACAGTGGTCATCAGTGTGAAAAACTGTCATAAGTCACTTTTTTCAGTGCTGTTGTAACTTTGAACAGTTCACTAAATAAACTGTTGTAAGTCAAGGACTAACTGTACTGCATATTCAATAATCTAAGTTAAAAAACAAAGCTGCTTCCTTGGAAATAATGGAAGAAAATTTGACTTTTTTTTACATTGGTAGAACAATGAAGCACATAGTTTAGCATGCGTTTAATTGAAGAAAAGAAGGTAGGTATCAAGATTATTCAATAACATAAATGGCCACATAAAGAAACATGGCACCACATGAAACCTTATATAATATTCTATCTTTCACTAAACCTGATAATTTAAGAATGTTAACATATTCTATACCAGTGGTTCTCAACCTGTGGGTCGGGACCCCATTTGGGGTCGATCGACCATTTCACGGGGGTCGCCAAGCAAGGCTGTCTGCCATTTTTTTTGTCCGCCATTTTTTTCCCTTTTCCGGCGGGTGCCTTACCTCCCTGGGCTGGGCCAGCTGGTGGTCGGCCTGCTCCGTCTCTGCCGCTTGCCAGCTACGCCTTGGCCGGCGCAGGGGGCGGAACCACGCATGCGCGGAGCTCCTGGGCCGGGAAAGTCCTCGACTTACGACCGGTTTAGTCCTCGACTTATGACCAGTTTAGTCCTCGACTTACGACCGGTTGGGGTCGCGGCATTAAAAAGGTTGAGAACCACTGTTCTATACAGATGGAAACAGGTTCTGCATCACGTACCGAACCACCATGTAGTCCATCACATTACAGAAATTAGTGTTGTATGCTACATGGTTGAAGACATAAAGTTAGGATAGGATTGCTTGTGTCACGTGAACCCAGGAAGATGTTAATTCCATAAACCATGATTTTGTTGTTGTTGTTAATTGCGAAGTCGTGTCCAACCCATCGTGACCCCCTATAAGTATGTATATATATATCATGCGAATGAGATTAGTGAGGAAAAGAAAAAAGGGAGGAGTGCACCGTACCTAGACAGCCCGAGTGGAGCAAGGGAGGAGATGACAGGAACACACAGTCAAATGATATGGGAGATACGGCCAAACAAAAAAGGGGGGGAAACACCCCGCCCACCCCTGATCCCAGCGAAGGGAGGATATACGAAGTTACACGCATAGACAAGAAATACAAGAAAAGAGCAACCGTTAATGTAAAAACTGCATCTGGAACACAGCTTACTCAATCAGGACCCATGACGAGATCCAGGAGCCGAGTGCAGACCTTGATCAACCTATAAAAGACTCTCCTATTGACTAGCATTTTAAGCCCTGATGATGCCAACGAAAGCTTGGCGTTTGTATTAAACCTTTGTAGTTTAAAGATTTTCCCTGGTGTTCATGTTTGTTTATTTTGAATATATATATATGTGTGTGTGTGTGTGTGTGTGTGTGTGTGTGTGTGTGTGTGTGTATAAACCAATATGGTGTTGTCATTAAGAAAAAGAAAGAAGAAAAGAAAAAGAAATCCAGCTTCCAGTCCTGCTTAAGCAATCTGGATGATTTGGGGCCAATTCTTTTCTCTCAACCATAGACTAGAAATCTGAAAAACACCTGTCTATCAACCCACACTGAACCAGCATAATGGAGCACACTCCAGAGCCTTCAATGAAGAGAACGTCAGCTTGCAATGCTGGCTGGGTGACTTTGAGCCAGTCACTTTCTCTTAGCCCAACTTACCTGTTGTTCTGGAAAAAATAGGAGGGGGAAGGAGTATTAGGTAAGTTCCTCACCTTGAGTTATTTATAAAAACAACAAAATCTGGATAAAAAAGTCTAAAAAGTACAGAAGCTTTATCCCCATAAATTTCAATCACTGCATCTCTACTAGTATCAAAATTAGCACTTTGTTAATTACTCTCCAGCAAGTGTAAGGGACAGCTTTAATACAAGCTGCCCCCCCCCTAACCTTTCAAGGAAGAATCACGTTAGTAGTACTCTCTATCCCAAACAGTGAATACAAAGCCAGTGGAAGATGCTTATATCATATACTGTGTAGTCCCTCAGTTCACTGAAAGGGGGACCGCCTTTAGAGACCCAAGAAACATTGTCTATATTTTCCTACCCTACCTAGGGTAGGGTATGCAAAGTCCGTGCAAAGACCCTTCCTCCTGCCATTCCTCATTGGTTTTCTCTAGTTCCTTAAAAAATTGTTGTTTTGCTGATTGGCTGGAGCTCCCCCTCGCCCCTCCCTCCCCATTTGGAAACCGCCGGCCTGATGTTTTCCTTTTAAAGGGCCAGGAGCCGCGGGGCCGGCCGCGTTGTTCCTTGACGCTTCCTGCCGTACCTTCAAGGTGCGCTCCCGTTCTGGAGTCCCGAACGCCTCGGCTGCAGTCATGGGCGCTTTCAGGATCGTGACAGGAGCGCTGCAGCCTCGGGAGATTCGGCGCCACTGGAGGAGAGGGTCGTCGGGACGCGGTTTGGAGCTGGTCCTTCCCGTGGGTTTGAGCAGAGCCCTCTACTCCGCCGGAGGGAGAGAGGCGGTGATGAATGGCCGTCACCAGCAGCCGCCTAAACAGCGCCTCGCTGACCAGTAAGGGAGGCGTGGGCTACCGCTTGTCACGCTGTAGTTTGGAGGATCTTAAATTGAGGGGAGGGGGTCGTCTGGCCATTCCCAATGGCGAAATGTGCAAGATCACTTTAATCCCAATCTTTGCCTTTTTCTAGAATGCAGCCCCCTGCTTCTACTAGCGAACTTTCTCCATGTGATAGATCCAGCGGTGTGAGTCCATACTTTTTTCCACATTGGCACCCAAGGATAAATACTGCTTTCCTGCTACAGGTAGTCCTCGATTTACACCAGTTCGTTCGGTGACCGTTCCAAGTGACAATGGCACTGGAAAAAAAAAAGTGACTTATGACCGTTTTTCACAGTTACGACCTTTGCAGCATCTCCATGGTCATGTGATCAAAATTCAGATGCTTCGCAATTGGTTCATACTTATGATCAGTGCTGTGTCCTGGGGTCATGTGATCACCTTTTGCGACCTTCTGACAAGCAAAGTCAGTGGAGAAGCCAGATTCACTTAACAACTGGGTTACTAACTTATCAACTGCAGTGATTCCCTTAACAACTGTGGCAAGAAATGTCGTAAAAATGGGGCAAAACTCACTTAATAAATGTCTCACTTAACAAGAGAATTTGGGGGCTCGGTTGTGATCATAAGTCAAGGACTACCTGTACTCCAGCTTTATTTGTTCAATCAAGTAAATGAAGTAGATAGGCAAAGGAGATGGGGTTGAAAAAGAAACCTTTCCCAGAGCAGGGTGTCAGCCTTTTAATTTGTTTCATTCAGTGCTTCTTTTCTTTTTTTTAATGCATCTAGACCTTCACACTGCCTGCACAGCCACAATCGGAGAGTTTTCTATCAGTCCAAGACACAAAAGAAACATTCTGACTAAATTCTCTAAATATATAGAGAAGTCATTGTCACTGCCTTTTGGTTGGTGCCTATTGGTTTTTGGCATTTTCATGTTCTATATTTTTTGTATTTATAGCCAGTAATACTTTTAGAGACCTGCTAAGCATCTTCGCTTCTGCGAAGTCTGAGGGGTGAGATCTGAGGCTGTTCCCAGCAGAAATGCTGGCTGCCATAGAAACATCCCCTCAGCAGCAGAATTGCACTTGTCCCAAAATGCAACTATGGAAAAGGAAAAACAAACAGAGCCTCGGTGTTATTTTATGATCTAAAATAAATAAAATAAAATAAATAATAAATAAAAATAAATTTCGGACATGGTTAATACTGTGGGGAAATTTTTTTCCAGGGCAGAAAATATCCACCAAGTCCTAAATGATGGCGATTGTGTTTCTGTAGGATGCCTGATCTGATCATAATTTGACACTGTAGATTCAAACATAGAAATACATATTTTACTTTTGAATGCATTTTTCTAACACTCTAATAACATTTCTAGTTGTTGGGAAATATCGGGGTTTTGTACATAATGTTTCCTTTGCCACTTGTGGCACAAGGCTGTTACTCTTGCTATTTTGTCTTCCTTTTTTCATATTTGATGTGCAATTCAATGTGCAGATACCTGAATGTATATTGATCAGTGTCCATTATATCAATATTATGGTGGCATGCTTCTTTACTTTTTAGAACCCATGCATTTCTGAAAATCATTTTAAATAGATTTTTTTTGTTTTAAAATCCTTTATCTAGAAATTATTTTTCCTTCAGACTAATTTTAAATAATAAAATAAATAATAAAATAATAGCATTGGAACATTATTATCCACTGTAAAATTTATATCTCAAATATCTTTAAGGCTTAATTAGTTCTTCTCTTCTTTTCCCCTGATTCTGCCATATTTTTGTATATTAAATAAGATGCTGGAACTGAATGTGTTCCACAGTTATAATGATCAAATTTACAATACCAAATACTTGCCAGAAATAAATTAATAAAGATGGAGAAGATTAAAAACAACGGGCCCCATCAGTTAGTACCAAAGAATTATTAAACATGAATTTGAATGAAGTATAATGGATTTTTCAGGAATAAAAAAATACGGGGATATTTTTGAATCCACCTTTATGATTAAAAAGCAAAAGCCAGTTTAGAGTTTTGTAGGTAGATGTCAAGTTACATGGTAAACAAAAAGACTTGGGTTTTTAAAAAATATATTTATTGTTTGTATAGCAATACAACAGAATCTTAAAGGCATAGCACAGTAATTTTTCTGCATAACTTATATCTAGTGTAATTAAGGCAGAATTACTCTCTTTCTAATGCTTCCCTGGGATTCAAGAATCTCTTCTGTGCCAGCATTCCTTCCTCCCTTAACTATCTTGTTGGTTATTCTATGTTCCCATGGCCCATGACAGTAGAGAGAATAGAAACTAAATGGCTAGATTGGGAGAGTTACCCCATCATTATTATATAGAAAATCCTGATTATGAGGCATTTCAATATTTGGAACAGTGTAGACTTACAGAATTCCTGAGTCAGAAGGATCCTGATAAGTAGTCCAGATAGATAACTTCGACCCCATGAAATTTCAGATGTTCATCAAACCTCAAATTTTCATTATATGAAAATAATGTAATAAATACTACTTTAATGATATGACAAATATCATTCACATTGATTCCTTGTACAGTCCCATCAACACTGCTCTAAACCATCCCTGATACTGGTGACTCTCCAACTTCGGTAAGGGGAAATCTATTTTTCTTTTTGTCTGAGTACTGAGAAGCAGACCTGTAGGAGCTAATGGAGAGAATAAATTGAGTGTGGAATTATGTTTTCCTGTGGGGAAAATGTTTCCTGTCTCTCTTGGTAGCATGGCTTTAATTTGCCCATATTCTTTTCTTTTAGGAGATACTTCTCTTCACAGGAATTAATTAATTTTGGTATATAGGAGCAGAGAGGCCTACAGTAGTCCTCCTTTAGGGATGGAAGCTGGCTGGGTGACTTTGGCCAGTCACATTTTCTAAGCCCTAGACTGGGAAATTGAAAAACATCTATCAAACCACATTGGACCACCATGGTAGATTATGATCTATGAGGGGTCCTTGGTGCTCTCTGAGCTTGCTTGTTTTCTGGCAGATGTTTCATTACCCTAACTAGGTAACATCATCAGTGCTCCCATCAGTGCATCATCAGCACTGATGATGTTACCTAGTTAGGGTAAGGAAACATCTGCAAGAAAACAAGCAAGCTCAGAGAGCACCAAGGACCCCTCATTTCAACCGTGAGCTACAAATATTCTCCTTCATTGGTATGATGATCTGTAATCTTCGAGGAAGAAGCCTACATATTGCTGTGGGATGATGATGATGATGATGATGATGATGATGATGATGATGATGATTGACGACAATGATGATAGATATGTCATTCCCATCTCTCTCCAGGGACCCCTCAGTGAATGGGATGCTGCCACGTCTCAGTGATCTGCTCTTTTACACAATAGCCGAAGGACAGGAAAGCATCTCTGTTCACAAATTTACCACTGTAAGATATGACCTTAAGAATGGCTACGATTGTTTAAAATTATTTAAAACGGGTCTTTCAAATGACTTAAAAAGTTTTCATGCTGCATCTCTTAAGTTTATAAAGGGCGATTATTCTTCTACAGTTCATTGTAGACAAATGGAAACACTAGTATTGTAAAACGCTGCATTATTTATGCCATACCTATCATACAAACTCTTTAGATTTTGGACAGTTATTTTGAAAATAATAGTATGCATTTAATTTTTTTTAAAAAAAATCCGTGACAATGTGAAGATAAAATAGAAATGCAAAAGTGAAGGCTAGCATGATTAATTCCAGGTTTTTTTAAAAAAAAATTGCACAAGTAGTAAAACAAATGGCAGTATATAATTGGATTTAAACTAGCAAAGCTTTAAGACAGGGGTCTTCAAACTTGGCCCTTTTATGACTTGTGGACTTCAACTCCCAGAATTCCTCAGCCAGGCACGCTGGTTGAGGAATTCTGGGAGTTGAAGTCCACAAGTCATAAAAGGGCCAAGTTTGAAGAACCCTGCTTTAAGAAGTCAGGGAGAACACCACTCCCCTGCCTTAATCTCTCTGGAGCAGATATTTCAGGTTCTGGTGTCTGAAAACAAAGCCCTGTCATAGTTCCATGAATTCACTCAGCATTCCAATTGTTGCTGAACTGCAGTTCCCAAATACCACAACCAGTTTGGTCGCTGCTGAGGGTTACTGAAAACTGTTCTGTATTACTGATATATATGTGGCAAAAAAAAAAATGGGCCTTTTCCTTTTTCAGTGCTTGCAGACAGGTGGTTCCTATGCTTTCAGGTGAAATATTCTGTTTTCATCTTCTCCTTGTTTACAGTTTTTTGGAAATAGCAGTTGAAGAAGGTGAGAAACTGGCCCCAAAGAAATTTGCACACAATACAGTCCTAATCTGAACCTTTGATACTTCACTCAAACCTAAATGATGTATAAAATTATGTGATCAAATGGATGAGCACAACTCCCGTGCAATTCCTCCCAAATTCCACACCATTAGAAAATAAAACAGATCTCATGGCTTGAAATGTTGGAGCATCCAATATGACATCAGACACTCAGAGAAGGTCTCTGGGTTGGAAGACTGGGCACATCCTTTGCAAAGAGCCTTGTCTGCGATGCTACTATCATAATTGCTACCCCGTAGGAAAGAATGATTACAATAACATCTACTATCCTGATACCTATAGAAATGGAGTATCTATGGGTTCTGTTTTACCTATAATACAACTTATTCTCACAGTTAATTTTTCTGGGCAATATCCATAATTTTTCATTGGAACCTTCAATTTCCTCTTAGTACTTGATTTAAAGAGAGATCCATCCACCCTCTGAAAAACAGCATGGGGAAGTTCCACACATGCAAAAGCACATGCATGCATGTACCAAAGTTTAATTAAGAATTCACCCTTCGTACTAATGTAGTCCACGACTTACAACAGTTCGTTTAGTGATCATTCAAACTGAAAAATGTGACTTACGGCCGTTTTTCACAGTTGTAACCTTTGTAGCATCCCCTATGATCATGTGATCAAAATTCAGATGCTTGGCAGTTGGCTCATACTTATGACCGTTGCTGTGCCCAAAGGTCAAAGGATCGCCTTTTGCGCCCTTCTGACAAGCGAAGTCGATGTGGAAGCCAGATTCACTTAACAACCAGGTTACTAACTTATCAACTGCAGTGATTCACTTAACAACTGTGCCAAGGAAGGTCTCGTAAAATGGGGCAAAACTCACTTAGCAAATGTCTCATTTTACAACAGAAATTTTGGGCTCAATTGTGGTCCTAAGTCGAGGACTAGCTCTAATGGGTACCGCATCCAGTTCTACAACCCTCACCCCTGACTTGTTCTTTTTCATTCAGGCCTTACAGCGCACTGGCCTTTGGACCTCAGATCCACGTCTTCGCGACTGCATGAATCTGATGCGGACCGCAGCTCAAGGAGCTAGCAGTGCAGGAATGCTGAGTCGAGAACTTTTTCGGAGGTAGGAATTACACTGAAGTGCACCTGGTGGTGTTGTGGCTGCCCCTTTGCAACTGGAGCCCTGAATCTATGTTTGTTTAACAAAGCATATCAGCTCCTGCAGGCAAATTTAGTTTTCGTTCATCCTGTCGCACACAAATTTTGTTCTGTAAACAATCGCACCCCGATTCACAGAATTCCTTCTGTAGTCATATTCTACATATCTCCTGTTTGCATCTCTTCCTACCTCACTATATCTTCTTCCCCTCAGCCCACCACAATTTTTCATAGCCTAAAAACATGAGAGCTACTTTGGTTAAGCAATATACGTGCTACAGTACTTAAATTTGCACGTTCAGGAACAGCAGATATGAAATAGGGATAGCTCCAGAATGTTAAAAGAAATGTCCAATTATTTTGGAAAAATCTCAAGTTTTTATTTGGATACCTTGAATTTCTACTCCATGCCTAACATCTGATTTAATGGTAGCTGCATTCAAGCAACATACTGAGTTTTCATGTGATATTTTTTCGATTGGGCTCTTTGTTGGATGAATCCAACCCGTGAGGTTTTGTCAATCACAACATAGTCCATGGTGTGAACCCAGGTAACTGTGGTCAAGCAAACAAACTACAATTAAGCAAACCATACCACAGTGCACTATACAATTCAAGCAATATATGGGAAAGGAAGGTTTATTCTGTGATTTCTTTTTGCTGTGGACTTTACAAGCAGCAGCTTAGAAACTACAGGAGGTTATCCAAAAAAAGAATGGTAGAGAAAGATAGGAGAGATGATAAGTCAGTTAGCATTTAAAAGCTGGAAGTTTTTTTTTAAAAAAAAAATTGGCTAACTTGTTAAGTTTAGATGTTCAAAGTGCAAGAAAAGAGGAAACATGCTTCTGAATTGATATTGCCAAGTCAGCTGCTTTTCAAGGCAAAGAAACAAGAAGATAAGATAGTCGTTACAGTTTTCATGTCTGCTTGGTCTCCAAATAAGACATCCTACTTTCTTCCCCTATGTGCCATTCAATATTTCACCTATAATTTTGGCTTTCAGGTGTGTGAGTAGCAATATAGTTCTCTTGACCCAGGCTTTCCGGAAGAAATTTGTCATCCCTGACTTCAAGGAGTTTACATCACACGTGGAGCAGATCTTTGAGTGTACCAAAGGACTTAGGGAGGGCAAGGTAAAAACGATCTGATTGCACATAGCAGAAGGTAAATAATAGGATTCCTCTGCTACCTTCAAAAAAAAACTAATATGCATGGAAAGCTCCCCAGTGCTTGGGTAGAATATGAGAGTGGCAGATAAGAAGGTAAAGAGGCTGGTTGGCTGGCCTTAGAATTAAGGAGAGAGGTTGTCTTAATTCAACCTGCGTGGGAAGAGGAAACATGAATATCTCCCCTTAAGTACCCTTAACTCTTACTAAAATCCCTCCAGAACTTTTTTCAGTGCTTTTGTAACTTCAAATGGTTGCTATAAATCAGACATGTCAAACTCACGACGTCACGTGACATCGCGCAACGTATCGGGATGGTTTTGCCATTGCCGGCAATGGGGTGGGCGCGGCTTCCAGATGATGCGTCCGGCCCACGGGCCGGCAGTTTGACACCCCTGCTATAAATGGTTGTAAGTCGAGGGCTATATCATAATAAAACAAAACCACAAATGTATGTAGCAGTCTAAGATATCTTCCTCTGCTGCTGATTTTGTTCGTTAGTGCAGGGCTTTTCAACCTTTTCACCCATTGTGCCACTTTTAGGATATGGCAATATACGAGTACCACCAGTCGCCTAGCAAGGTGTCAAAAACTTGACCAAAAAAAAAAAAAGGAAAAAAACGATGAAGTACAGGTAGTCCTCAACTTACAACAGTTTGCTTAGTGACTGTTCGAAGTTAAAGTGGCACTGAAAAAAGTGCCCCCCAAGCCTCAGCTGAGCAAGACACCTGCCTGCCCGCCCAGCCGCACTCTTCCTCCTGTCCGAGGTTTTCATTGTTGTGAGCATTTCTGTTGAGGATTGGCAGCGGGAGTGGGGTGGGGTTTGGTTTTATTCCCCCCGTCTGCTGGGTGGTTGCAGCAGGTTTTGGTCACTTCACATGACCCTGGGACACTGATTCCATCATAAATATGAATCAGTTGCCAAGCATCTGAATGTAAATCACAAGACCCTGGAGATGCTGCAACATTCCAGCTGATCGGCGCTTCTTCTGGGCTCAGCAGAAGTGTCAGGATCATTGCTGCTTTCCAGCTGATTGGTGCTTCTTCAGGGCTCAGCAGAAGCGCCAGGATCAGCGCCGAGCTCCAGCTGGAGCCTGGCGCTGATCCTGGTGCTTCCACTGAGCCCTGACAGCCCTGCAGCTCCAGCCATCTCTCGCTCAGGTTTGTGCGGTGCTGCCACCGGTTCAGCTCATTCCCTTCCTCCACTACCACTTTTCTAGAATGGTCGCATACCACCTGCCAGGTGCCAATGTATCACAGGTGGTACCCGTACCACTGGTTGAAAAGCCTTGCGTTAGTGCACTTGTGCAGACTGCTTCTCTTAGTTTCAGTTTATTCCCACAATCTCACTGGTATAGAACGGAGGCCAAGAGAAACTTCCTCTACTGCCCTCAGTTAGGTGGGCTGCAAATGGTTAATGACTGTTCCCTAGGGCTTTGTCCCACATCTGAACAATTTATCTTTCCTTTTGTATAGGTAGCAAATTACATTCCCCAAATGGCCAAATGTAATCCAGACATCTGGGGGGTATCTCTCTGCACAGTGGACGGACAACGGTGTGTATAAAGAACTGAGAGGCAAAAAAAGGGGTGGTGGTGGATATTACAGAATAGGAAAAACTATTTTCCCCCAAACAACTCAGTGAGGTAAGCCGGACTGAGAGTGACTAACTGGCCCAAAGTCACCCAGCCAGCTTTCCTGCATAAGGGGGACTAAAACTCCCAGTCTCGTGGTTTCTAACCTGGCGCTTTAACCACCAAGCCAAATTCAATGGGATTGTAATACAGGTAGTCCTTGACTTACAACCACAATCAAGCCCAATATTTACGTTGCTAAGTGAGACTGTCAAGGTTCCGACTAATGAAACACTTCAAAGAACTTCCAGGCATTGTTTATCCTAAAAAGCCTTTATTCCTGTGTAACAGAGTGTCGGCGCAGCATGGATGGATGCCAAGATCTGAAATCTCCACCCCAGAGCAGTTATTTTGCTAGCATTTTCCCTCCCTCTTTTGCTGTCATAAGTCACGTTCTCTGTTAAGTGAGTTTTGCCCCGTTTTACGACCTTTCTTGCCACAGTTGTTAAGTGAATCACTGCAGTTGTAAAGTTAGTAATACAACTGTTAAGTGAATCTGGCTTCCCCATTGACTTTGCTTGTCATAAGATCACAAAAGGGGATCACATGACCCTGGGATGCTGCAGCCGTCATAAATATGAATCAATTGCCAAACATCCAAATTTTGATCACATGACCACGGAGATGCTACAACAGTTGTTAGTGTGAAAAAGTCATAAGTCACTTTTTTCAGTGCCATTGTAACTTTGAATGGCCACTAAATGAACTGTTGTAAGTCAAGGACTACCTGTATTGTAGTTCTGGATAACAGCAGGGAAGTCAGTTTGGTTTGGGCTTAGGATGTTGTCAGCCCAGCCACTGTGGCTGCTTCAGGTTTATCAAATGATGACTTTGATTGAACCAGTCCTTGTGCCTGGCTGTGGCATGAACTACTTGGGGATAAACTCCTGCCTACCTCTTCATCAAGATGCTGGTGTTGGTCTTTCAGACAGAAGAGATGATCAAAGGAGGGTATAGAGAGTGTTCCTGATATTCTGTGATCAGCCACAACCCCAGCAACAAGTTTTGGGGATACGCAAAAAGAGCTTTTCCATCTTCCATGTGTATCCTTAGCTCCCTTAATGTTGGAGACTCTGAATTATGAACTCTGCTATGTCACTAAGTATCTCATCCTGGGGCCTTAAGAGACTGGCTGAAGTTCAGAGATCAGAGTTCTTCACGTGTAGGAGTCCTTTGGTTTAATTTTTGGCATCCCTTGTTAGAAATTCTGAAATTTCCGCTAGTCGGTTAGCAGTGTAAAACCAGAAGAAGGTCCAGCCCCGTATAAGACAAGTTCCAATGTTTGGGGAACAGCATTCCAACACTTTGCACAAGTGTCAGGTCACCATGTTTGGGTCATTGGGTACACATCATTTCTCTCCCTCCATCTCCCCTAGGCATTCCATGGGCCACACTAAGACTCCCTTCTGCCTGCAGTCATGTGTCAAGCCCTTAAAATATGCCGTTGCTGTCAGTGAACTGGGCACAGAGAGAGTCCATCAGTATGTGGGCAAAGAGCCCAGTGGTCTGCGTTACGACAAACTGTCTCTCAACGAAGAAGGTGAGTAGTGGAGAGGAGCCTACGTGTGCTGAGGAACAGGAGACCGTGGTTTAAATCTTTGCAGACCCAGTTGTAACACAGGTGCTGTCCTTTGTCAGCCCCTTTGACTACTAAAAGCCTTACTGTGTGAATGAGACCGTTCCAGTTGTGATGAAAACATCCATACCTCCCATGTCTGAGCCAGGATGCAACTTCTGTTGAAAGGCAAACCAAAGTTTGTTGTTGTGTAATATGTGTGAAATACTTGCTTTAACCTTCTAGGATGGCAACAGTGTACAGGCCCTGGTGTATTGAAAGGTTGTATGGAAATGCAGGTCATAAAATATCTGTATTTTCCCTATTAATATTCCCATGGAAAGTAAGAAGAAGAGCTTTTCTCTGAATCTTCATCTGTCCCATTAAAAAATTTTCTCTTTCAGTCCATTTTAAGTTCCTTGCAAAATTGAGGCAGTTCTTCCCGCAGAAAATATTCAAGGGGTGAATGAGAACTGTTTACCTCTTACGTTTATTTTTCTTGTGTTTGATCATTAGGTACATGTTTGACAGTCCATTAGTTCATTGGTCCTACTTTTTCTTATGATTTGTATATTTATATATTAAGTGAATGATACTTAACGAACCTGTGAAAAAGTATGCATCCTTCATTAAAGTAATTGTGGATTTTTTTTTCTTTTTCGGTAAAGCCTGCATAATGGCATATGAAGAAACAATAATTTAGGGTCACACAAAAAAATGAAAACAATAGTTCTTATTATACTGTTAACAAGATTACAGCAAGCATAGCACTAGCACTTAGACTTACCTATATACCACTTCATAGAGTTTTATAGCATTCTCTAACAGTTTACAAAGTCAGCCTATTGCCCCCAACAATCTGGGTCCTCATTTTACCAGCCTTGGAAGGATGGAAGGCTGAGTCAACCTTGAGCCAGTCAGGATTGAACTCCTCACTGTAGGCAGAGTCAGCCTGCAATACACTTTAACTACTGCACCACCATGGTTCTTTCCCAATTCAGAGGTCCTGCAGATCAATGGCTTCTATAGCTCCTAAAAAGTCCAGCCAGAAAAGTTGATCAGTACTGAGTGAGGATTTGGAAACTGTGGTTCCATCTTATTTACTTAAAACATTTATAAAGTGTCCCATCTTTCAATCAGTTCTGGACAGCTCTCAATGAAAAATTAAAAGACATATAAAATCACGTTCAAAGCTATAAAATTCAATCAATTAAAGCAGGGGTGTCAAACTCACCGCGTCATGTCACAACGTATCACAACTTTTTTTCCTTTGCCGGAGCTGGAATGGGTGCAGCTTCTGCGTGATGCCTCTGGCCCGCGGGCCGGCAGTTTGACACCTCTGAATTAAAACATTAAAAACAAAAACCTGGCACCAATTAGGCCTCTTGATGAGAGTGTACTTTTCTTATTTTCTTTTTGTTAATTTTAAAATTAATTAATTTTAAAGTGGATCCCATAAACTGTGCAAGACCTCTGCAAGATCTGTTTGTCTTGCTGCCATCATAACCCTGCTGAGGTTTAGAATTTTTTCTTCTTCTTTTCTTAGACTCCAGGCAGCTTTATTTATCCTTTATTTCTGAGGTAACATGACTAAATGGAACACGGGTAAGATAAGGGACAACTCTTACTTGGTTAACTTCAAAGCAAAGAAATGAATGGACTTACATTAAATAACTTTAAATAGTTCATTAAATAAGTTAACTTGATTCTACGGTGTAGTTATAGCCAATCACAATTTGCTTACTCTAGCACTAGTTCTAACTCTGTCTCCCTGACTGATGGAGGTTTTCTAGGGTTAAAACTCTCAGCCTTTCTCAGATTTGTCCACTACACCTCCCAAATCCATCATTCCTCAGTTTTTCTCTAGAATGTAAACAGAAAGATGGTGGCCTACATGACTATTTTTGGTTGGCAGTTCCACCTCACAATCAACACAGATTGATATTGAAAAGGCCAGTGTTTTAGAGAAACCTAATTGAAGAGGAGGAGGGTGCAAAATTTAAAGAATCCTGTTTTAATCCATTCCTTTGCATTCAGGGATTCCACACAACCCTATGGTGAATGCAGGAGCCATTGTGGTGAGCTCTCTTATCAAGGTAAAGTTTCTTCGGCTATAGTACTGATATTAGACATGGGCTGGAGTCACCCAACAAATGGAGAGTATAATACAGTTTGGATTAAAGACAACATATCTCTGGACTCACTTCACAAATACTGGAATGTGGTTTGTTTGGTTTTCATGTAACTTGAATCCAGTAGCTTCTGTGTTTGGTAAACTACCAGAATGACTTAGTATACTGTGTATCAGGCCTGTCCCAGCTTGGGCATCTAGGAAAGAAAGACCCTCGACTCCATTTGTAGTGAAAAGTATACTTTTACTAAGGGCCAAGTGGTTACAGCGTAAGCAAAGCCAACTTTTTCTTCTCCCAGGCCCTCTCCCCTCAGTCATCTTTTTTAGTGTCCAATAAGATTCAAACCAATTGTTTTGGTAACAGTTCTAAAGTTTGGCACCTCTTTAGTGGCATTCACATTCCATTCCCTTGCCCGTGGCCCATTGGATCATTCAACTGTTGTCTCTGGTTGGCACTTCTGTTTCCTGTCATCCCCACTCCCTATATCCTCCCATCTCCCCTTCCCATACTTTATGGCAGGATGCCATCAAAGCGAAGCAGGGCTGCAGCAGCGTGATGGCAGATCTGACACTGTGTGAATAACTCCCATATAAGGGATGGTACATAAGGTGCAAAGTCTATATTGGATTTTAATTGGTTTTTAGCAGGGGAAAATTTCTTTTTGTACAATGTTTTAATATGCTGTGAGCCGCCCTGAGTCCCATGGGGAGAAGGGCGGCATATAAATTTAAATATAAATAAATAAATAAATAAATAAATAAATAAAAATATATTGCAATGCACACATTGTCACATCTACTCCTCCCACCCCAGAAACAACATTTGGGCTATTTGATAAGGATCAGCTTTGATATCGTCCTACAAAGGTAGATTCTGGTTCCAATTTATCTCCAGGGTGCGGGATTACAGATAATTTTGGTTTGTTTGCTGCATTTATAATATGCTGTCACTACAGTGATCTTCCCATTATGATTTTCCTCCTTAGTCAGACTTACAACTACCCTACTCTCTCACTCTTGGTCAAAGTTGAGGGATCCCTTGTTTCATATGGCAGATGCATATGGAGCTCAAGCCTCTTCTCATCTACCCAAAACTCTCTCAAAGATGAATATTCCTCCATTCTTCTGTCCTTGAAGTTCTACACAAGATTTAACGGCTGTTCTATCCAATTCAAGAACTGATCTGGGACCCCTGTAGCTATCTTAACTAGAAGTTTTAGAATGCATTGCTAAACCTATAATGTATTTCTAAACTTTCTAACAACAACCATCCTGGATGTTTACATTTGTCAAAGATTAAACTGGGTCTCAGAATGCATTTGATTCTTTTCTCTCTCTTTTCTTCTTCATCAGATGGGCTGCAATAAAGCAGAGAAGTTTGACTACGTGAGTCTGCCCTTTCTCGGAGTTGGAGGGGAAATTGACTTTCTGGAAATGCTGGCTGATCAAGTCGTTTATCTTGCAATGCAATCCTGACATTTGATTTAGTCATTTGTTTAAAAATCCCCTAGAATATTTACCGATGAAAGGTGAAAAACATGCAGAACACAAGGGCATGCTCTCTAAATGACAAAGTGACAAGCAGTATTTCTGATACATTCAATTAGGGACAAGAACGGGGAAGCTGTGGCTTACAGGAGCATTCAGTCGTCCAGCATCCCTATTTTTTTTAATGTGCTTGTTTTTTTATTATTTTGAAGGATGGGTGATAATCAACAAAATAGGTACCAAACTGTTCTGTGAAATTAAAAATACTGCAGTTAGGCATACAAAGAATTGACTGGCAAGAGAAAAAGAAAGAAGGGTTAGTGAAAGACTGGAAAAATCCAGATTGAAATAAAAAAAGAGCTGGATCATAAAGAGGCCCCTTCCAAATGCAGTTTTGTTTCTGTTCTAGGTGGTGGATTATTTGAAGAAGATGGCTGGAAATGAATATGTGGGATTCAGCAATACCACGTAAGGCACATGCGTTGTGTCTATATATGGGCTTGCAGTTAGAGTGCCTAGAAGCATGTCAGGTTTAATCTGAATGATAATTCTCCAAATGGAGTAATCCAGAGGCTGAGAGAAACGAGGATTTGTGCATATTTCTTTGCAGGTTTCAGTCAGAGAAAGAAACAGGAGATCGGAATTATGCCATTGGCTACTATCTCAAAGACAAAAAGGTAACAAGAGGAAGGGGGGGAAAGAAACCCTGGGCTTTCTAGCAGACCAGGATAAATGCAGTTGAAAGTTGAAAGAAACCCCTCTCACTGGGAAAGACCAACTTTGCCAAGATCTGACCCAACTTTACTTTCTTTTGATCCCTACTTGGCAGTGCTTTCCACGTGGTGTGGACATGATGGCAGCTCTTGACTTGTATTTCCAGGTAAGTTGCATTTTGAACTGCAGCTGAGGTGGTATGTTGGGTACAAAACAAATCCATCTGAGTTTGAGGGAGACAAAAAAAAAGCCATTTGGTTGTTTTTTTTTTCTTCCAAACCTATTCCTCTAGATCAGAGGTAGGGAACTATGGCCCCTTTATGACTTGAGAACTTCAACTTCCAGAATTCTGGCTTAGGAATTCTGGGAGTTAAAGTCCTCAGATCATAAAGGTGCCATCGTTCCCCACTCCTACTTTAGATTAATATCCCACAGGGCCAGTGTCTTCAAACTGCAATATGCTATACTCCCCATCATCCCCAGCTAGCAGATTCTTGGGACTGACAGTTTACACTGATGCATATAACAGGCATCAGGTCAAAAAGGTTGATTTTGGATATTTGGCCAGAACCTTATTTTTTGTTCCATTATATGTTACTCTTTCACCTGAAAAGAGACCTCCTTCTTCTTCTTCTTGTGCCATATCTATTATCGGATGTTGGTGATCCTGTTTTTATCAGCAGCCGCACGAAAAAGTGCTGCTGAGTTTGGTCCAAACCAGTCCCTTAGATTTTGAAGCCACGATGTTCTTCTTCTGCCTGGACCTCGTTTGCCTTCAGTCTTTCCTTGGAGGATTAAATGGAGTATGCCGTATTTTTCTGGGTGTCGTATCACATGTCCGAAATATTCTAATTTTCGTTTTTTAATTGTTTTGATGACTTCCCTTGGCTTTCCCAGGTGGCATATCACCCCCTCCTTCACATAATCAGAATTCACATATGCAATCTGTCATTTTTCAAGAAATATTATATCAGGTGTTTTCTCTGTGTTAAACCACATTTGTGTATAGACCCTAAATTTTCACTCCAAGCAGAGGTTAGGAACGATTTCTGGGCTCCTTACTAAGATGTTGTTATAACTAATTTCTCTTTTTTTTAAAAAACTTTTTTTCCCCCTTATGAAGTTGTGTTCTGTTGAAGTGACTTGTGAGTCTGGCAGTGTCATGGCAGCCACACTTGCCAATGGTGGTATCTGCCCTATCACAGGCGAGTGTGTCCTCAGTGACGAAGCCATCCGCAACACCCTTAGCCTCATGCATTCTTGTGGCATGTACGACTTCTCGGGGCAGTTTGCCTTCCATGTAAGTTTCTGCTCTGTTTTGGGTGGGTTGGAAGAAACAGTGAGCATCCAGAAAGAGGGTGGGACTATTTTTATGACAGCTGATTTCAGTGGGAATTATCTTCTAAAGGCCGTTCCTCTCCATTGAAATGGTCAGGTGAATCAGGTGCTACTGAAGCAGAAACAACACTTTTGCAAGTTCCTGTACTATGCTGAGACCTATGCCATGGCTTGCCACATTTAATAAAGTACAGGTAGTCCTCGATTTACAACCATTCATTTCGTGACTGTTCAAAGTTACAACAGCACTGAAAAAAGTGACTTATGACTGTTTTTCACACTTATGACCGTTGCAGCATCCCCATGGTCACGTGATCAAAATTCGGACGCTTGGCAACTGACTCATCTTTTTGACTGTTGCTGTGTCCCACAGTCATGTCATCATCTTTTGATTCCTTCTGACAAGCAAAGTCAATGGGAAGCGGATTCACTTAACAACCATGTTACTAACTGAACTGCAGTGATTCACTTAACAACCATGGCACAAAAAGGCGTAAAATGGGGCAAAACTCACTTAACAACCTATCTCACTTAGCAACAGAAATGTGGGGCTCAATTGCAGTCATAAGTCGAGGACTACCTGTATAATTGCCTGGATTCAAATGACATAGTCAACTAAAACCGAATAAGCCACATTATATCATAGTGTGACGTGTGAACTAGATCTAGGAAGCTTGTACCAGCTACCTCATCCTATATTTGCCTCACACAAATATTCAAGATAATCAGGAGATGGTACAATTTTGTCTAGAGAAGCTTTTGTACATGCTGGAGACTTGTGGTTCAGAGGGAGACATTTTGCTGAGGCATGAGATGCTGTAGGATACCTCTTGGCTTGTGTTGATCTCAACTCATTTCTGACAGATGTACACCGGCATTCTCTGGAAAAATATAGGGCACTTCTTAGATTTATGCAATGCAAGCTCCTCTCTTGGGCACTTGTTTCTGAATGATAAGTAGCAACTATCCACTCTCTTCAGTCATCTCCTAACACTTGGCATGATGCTTTGCAAAAGAGGGACAACCAAAAATGCACCATTCTTAAAAATAGGTATGCGTGTAGCAGACCAGAAATGTGATTACAGTACTTATATACAGATCCACTTCTGCTTTCAGAAATTCTTCTCTCTAGTGCTACTTTTCTGCTTCATCTGCATGGTAATAGCCACCAGTTTCATTTTCCCAGCCCAGCATGAAATTTAATTTTGCACCAGGCAAAGCCTAATTTGCACCTGCAAAGAGCTTCCAGAATTAATAATATAACTGGAATATACTGCAAATTGGGTATCTGCTTTGCCATTTGCAGTGATCAACTTTATCTCTTTGTCCCTCAATTATACTTACTTGGTTTAAAGCTGAATAAGAGGAAGAGTTTTGAGATACTTAAAATGTGACTCATTGTATCCTCCATGTAATCTCTTTCTCATTACCAGGTTGGTCTTCCTGCCAAATCTGCAGTCTCTGGGGCTATCCTGCTGGTAGTGCCCAATGTTATGGGAGTGATGTGTCTATCGCCCCCTCTGGATAAAGCTGGCAACAGCACAAGAGGAATTGGGTTTTGTCAGGCAAGTTTCATGAAACTATAGACATGACAGAATGAACCTTTTAAAAAGAGCCTGTGAGAACCATGGATGGAATGATGACAGAACTGGGTTGATGGGTGGGCACAGAGGTTTTGTGCAAGCCACTCTCCCGGTCTCCATTTCTTAAGAGTAACGCTATAATAAAGATAAATATGAAAAGCACTCTCCATATTAAACGAAGGGTAATTGGGGAAAAAAATGACAACATAATTGATGTATTTGTGGTATTTATGGGCTATATTTTATGTCGCAACCATGAAAACATATCAAAATTAACATCTACGAGAAAATACAAGTAGTTTTACCATGAAGCGCTTGAACTGCTGAAGTCCCACGTTTTTTGTATGCCAAGTTTTGAAATTCTTGATTATATTGGTATTGATAATCAAGTTGATGTTGAAATTTACTGTGTTTCCCTGAAAATAAGAACTATTCTGAAAATAAGCCCTAGCTTGATTTTTGGGAGTGGGCCTAATATAAGCCCTACTCCAAAAGTAAGCCCTAGTTTTGGGGTGAGGCGCATGCCTAAAAATCAAGCTAGGGCGGGGGTGGGGAGAGTGGAGTTGACCCACGCATCCTGCACCTGCTTACCATTGTAGCCAGGCCTCCCATGCCCCAACACCTGCCTCGCTGGCCCTCTTCTTCTGCAGCTGCTCGCTGCCATTTGCGTGTATCACCCCCGGCCTCCATTTAGCCATCAGAGACCTTCAGGAAATGCCTCTGCAGCTGAGAATGGAGCTCTGGATTGATGCGCACAGTGCCCCCTGGCCTCTATTTCACCAACAGAGGTCTTCAGGAAAGGCCTCTGCAGCCGAGAACCGAGCTCCGGATTGATGCATTCGGCTGCAGGGGCCTTTCCTGAAGGTCTCTGATGGTGAAATGGAACCCAGGGGGTGCCACGCACATCAGTCTGGAGCTCTGTTCTCAGCTGCAGAGGTCTTTCCAGAAGGCCTCTGACAGTGAAATGGAGGCCGGGGGCGACACATGTGAGTAGCGGCTAATAGCTGCAGAAGAAGTGAGCCGGCTGGGTGGGGCTGTCGGTGCCACCGGTGCAAGGTGAGATAGGGGATAAGACACCTCCCGAAAATAAGACTTGGTGCCTCTTTTGGAGGCAATAGTAATAATAATAATAATAATAATAATAATAATAATAATAATAATAATAATAATAATAATAATAGTAGTGCTGGATCTTATTTTGGGGGAAACACATTAGTAACTACATAATAAAACTTTTCCAAGATGATCTGTCCCCAACATGGCCCTTCAGGTCTTCCATTGATGCATTCATGGCTGCTAAAATCAGATCCATCAGCCTTGCTACTGGTTGTCTTTTCTTTTTCTCTTTTATTCCACTTTTTCTAGCATCCTGGATTTCTCAAGGGACTAAGTCTTTGCATAATAAATCCAAAATATGGTAATTTGAATCTCAGATAAGACTTCTGGATTGATTTGTCCTTTGATCCATTTGTTTGTTGGTTATTCATGGTATTCTCAGGAAACTTCTCTAATACCTATATTGAAAAGTGTCAATACTCTTTCTATCCTGTTTCTTCAGAGTTTGACTTTTGCTTCCATAGACTGCCCCTGGGAAAAGAATTTCATGCATGTTTCCGATATTTATAGGTAGACACGTTGTCATATCTGAAAATCTTTTCCAAGGCTTTAATTTCTCTTCTACCAAATGCTAACTAGTGACTTATTTTTTGATTGCCAGTTCCTTTACTAGACAGCCAATCCTAAAAGACAGAACCTATCTGTCTTCAATTAGTATGAAGGTTGGTTGCTATACTTATTAATAGTTTACACTTATAGTTAATCCAATTTTCTCCATGCTCCTTGAATTTCATTAGTAGAGCTTTTAGAGCATTTGCATTGTCAGCCATTAGAGTAGTGTCATCATTTTTTTTCTTCAAGTTTTAAAACCACTCTCATCTTCTTCCAATCCAGCTTCCTTCACTGTATATTAATTATATAGGGTGAATATGAAGAAGAGAATCGATAGCTTTGTTTCATTTCTATATCAGTCTGGAGCCAGTCTGGATTGTGGCTTTCTGTCCTATATATAAGTTTCACATGAGGATATGGCTGATTTGAGATTCCATTTTCCTAAGGATATTACTCAGGTCAATAATATAAAAAGACTTTCTGTAATCAATGAAACATGAACTGAAAGCCAGTTTGGTCTACTGGTTAAGGCATCAGGATAGAAACCAGGAGATTGTTAGTTTTAGTTCTGCCTTAAGCTGGGTAACTTTGGGATAGGCACTCTCTTTCTCTTAATCCAACCCACCTCACAGAGTTATTATTGTGAGGAAAATAGAAGGAAGAAGGAGCATTAGCTATGCTCACCACCTTGAATTATTTATAAAATAAAATAAAATTGGATATAAATAAAAAATAATTGATTCTTTCTGATATTCTTTTGATGTTTAGATTTTCCAGCGTGCCTCAGCAGTATTGCCTCTTAATTCTCAGCTTCTTCTAAAATGAACTTGAACATCTGGTATTTCGCTTTTCACAAGGGGCTCCAATCAGCATTGGATGGTCCTGAGCATTATTTTTTGGCATATGTTAAGGATACTAGGCAATTGTTTGCACATTTTATTAAGTCTTCTTTCTTTGGTATTGGTGTTAGAAGACTGAATCTTCTCACACTTCAAATCTGCTGGCATAGTTTGGTTAGAGCTAAGTTAGAAGTGATTGTTATTCTGTTGTTTGCCACATATCTGTAGCTATTTCATCAATTCCTATTGTCTTCAGACTTGGTAATGACCCAGGTGCTGATCTGACTTCATTTTCTAATGTAGAGATTTTTGTAAGTAGGGAATATCTTCTAATGCAATGATTCTTAAACTGATTAACCCAATTACCCCTTTTCCTGGTCTCAAACGTCATTACCTTTCTCACACACACACAAAAATCCCCAGATTGTTGTTTTACATGAGCATTTTGCAGCAGGAGTTTCAAACTGGAACATCAAGTCATTAAGAAGCAACTACAAATTGTTTAATTACTCCCAGGATATGTTCAAATTAGCCTCTTGGAGGAAAATGCCCAGAGTTTAAGAACCACTGTTCTGTGGCATCTTGGATGTTCACGTTGCTTCCATCTACTTTGAACCAATTACTAGAAAGCATCACACAGTTTATTTTATAACTTTTCATTTGGGTTCCCTTTTGATTCTTATTCTTGTCTTTTGACTGTTATTTCTTCAGGAATTGGTGTCCCTCTTCAACTTTCACAACTATGACAACTTGCTGCATTGTACCCGCAAGATGGACCCACGCCGTGAAGGAGATGAAGTTAGGGTAAGAGACCAAGGGCCCTTGTATTGGAAAGATACTACAGATTTAAGTGAACTAGAGTAGAAGAGAAACTCAGAACACTTAGAGGATTAGAATAGCAGAGGTAGATGAAAGGCCCAGGGTTTAAGATGCATAAAAGAGAGATTTTATCAAGAAATGGTGACTTGAAGTCTTAGAGAGCACAGAGTAAGGGTTGCCAACCTAGAGAGGTGAAGCTCTCAATTCAGGAGGACTGTACAGTTATTAAAAACACAGGAGATCTTTGCCTTCTTGGTTTCACTCATTCATTCATTCATTCATTTATTCAACGTATATGACCATCCACTCTGGATGCCAGTTATAGCTCTGATCTGCAACCTTTGCTGTGCTCTTGCTGCTACAAATAAGCTGGAGAAGTGGGTATGCAGGAATGTTTTTTCACGCCCAGTTCACAGTTGCACAAAGAGTTGATCAGTCATGGTGTATAGGAAAACTGCAAGGAAACAGCAACTAGCACTGCCTGCAATGAAGATGTTTTCCTCTATTCTAGTCAACTGGAAGCTTATTTTAGCTATATTCTAACCCAGTTATGGAAGATTTTTGTTTGTTTGGGGGGGGTTTATATATTCAGAATATTTCATTGTGAGGGTTTTTAAAAGCCTCCAGAATCATGAAGATGAGTTATTGTAGGCCAGATGTGCTCAATATACTTCATATTTTTTCAGAACAAAACTGTTGTGAATCTGCTGTTTGCTGCTCACAGTGGAGATATCTCTGCTCTTCGGAGGTATGACTTTACTTATCCAGGGAAAGATGGTGCTGAAGAGAGATCTTGAGTATAAGTGAAATAAGTGAAATTTCCTTCCATGACATTTAACTCTGTCCTCTTGGCTTTCTTCTAGATTTGCTCTGTCAGCTATGGACATGGAACAGAAAGACTATGACTCTCGCACGGCCTTGCATGTTGCTGCAGCTGAAGGTATCATGTTCGGGATGCAAATCTGCCATGATTTCTAGGCACCTGCTCTTTATCCACATTTGCATCTGCAGGCTTGCATGGTAGAAACACATTCATGTAATTAGTGCTTCACCGGGGCTCATTTCTAACAAAAATGGGGAAGGGGGTTTGTGAAGGGAAGGCAAAGCTCTCATTCATATAAGTTCAATATAATATTGATCCATCACCATTAATCAGTGTGCACTTTGAAACAATAAGCCATCATAAAAACAATGTAATGGATCTGAGGGAAGATGCCGTATGAAAAGTATCAGTAAAAGGTGAAAAGTATTTAGTACGAGGTAAATACATTGAAGAGAATTCTGTCAATTTATGAATTTCCCTGCATTTAGATTTCTGTAAAAATCCAAAGCAATTTCAGGTGTAAAGATAGGAAATCCTATGTTCCCCCAGACATATATTATGTAATTACTTTGCCTTAAATGGGTGTCATCATCTTCTTGGTATCTCTTCCATCTTTTCCCCTACCACAAAACAAAACAAAGAAAGGAAAAATTAAGTAACCGCTCAGTGCCATATGACTGAGACTCCTAGAAGCTCAATGCTTATTCCTCCAACTGCAAATTGTACTCAGATTTGCAAGATTTATGGTAAGCAAATTTCGATGCTATATATTTCTGTCTCCAGGCTGGAGAAATTTCTCCAAACATTGATATAGTAAATGGAAGGGTTTTAAAAAGAGTTTTAAAAGTAAAGGTTTAAATAAATCATGCTGTCTCACCTCCAAAATAAAAAAAGCTCACTCTTACAGCAAGCATGGGACCTCTAATTGTACAATCACAATAATTTCCCCAAAGCACATTTCCTAAGAGATGATGTAAGCATTCTGAAACACATATATGTATCAGAATAACTCTTGATTTGTCAATTCTCCTGATCTGTGTTGCTGAACACCAAGAGATTCTTTGGAAATCTGCATCTTACAAGAGAGCTTACATAGTTGAACAGAAACAAATTTTTCCATCCTTGAAATGTCTACTGTGACTTTCTTGGTAACCCCTATTCTGCAGTCCTGCACCTTGAAGAACTCTGTAGACGAGGTTACATGTCGCATGATCTGTTGGGAATGGTTCAAAAGCTCATCTTTGGAAAGAGAGAAGAAGAGCCTCTTTTTAAATTGTTCCAGTTTTATGATTCTCCACAGGACATCTGGAGGTTGTGAAGTTTCTGATGGAGGCCTGCAGAGTCAATCCTTTTGTCAAGGACAGGTGAGGAACAAATGGGCTGACGGTTACAGATTCAAGATCTTGCTTTTTACTCTCAGAATTATAAAATCTTAGACCCAGCTTCTCCCTAAGCTAATGACAGGGACCTTATTTGCCATAAGGAACTGTTTCCAACAGCAGCTGCCTATAATATATTTCCCATTTCTCTGTTTAGTACTCCTTGATCAAATCAGTTTCTTGATCTTGTTACTCAAGAAGTTTGCATACTCATAACTTGTTTTGGGGCTGATTGGCCTCTGTTGGAACAGAATTGTGAAAAAAATAAAAGTTTAGTCTGATGCAACGTGACTATCAAGATATCCATATATCCCTAAAGGCCTCAGTTGTAATTTAGATTCTCTCTCCTTTAGGTGTGAGAAAAGGATGCATTACAGTTGATGACCCAGAGTAGGAAAAAGGTTCATATATTGCTAAACTTAGATCTAGTTTGTTGTTTCAATTTAGCATGCTCTGTAAATTCAGAGTAGAGTGTTGACAAGTCTCTATATTTTGTCCTGGTACATCAGGAACAGCTGTAACAGTACAAAAACTGTCAGATTCCTTGTCTCAATAAGGTGTGCCATAACCTTGGGGAAACGTTATTACCTGACATATCATGTTTTTGGGAGAAAGATTTCCATTGAACATTGATGGCCTAAGAAGTTACATTCTCCTAGTGCATGCAATATGATTTGATACCTCAGAAACATAAAGCACTACTTGTTTTAGTAGTAATCTTCATTTTGTAACATAGTACAAAATATTCTAGTAATCTTTATAACAGAGTAATTGGGGGGGGGCATATAAATTATCCTAATTTGAAGCCAATATGGATACCTGATCCACAAACACTTCTTTTTGATCTGCTTAGTTGAGAAAGAGGTGATTCAAGCTTTCAGTTGTTCCTCAGTACCTAGAACAGTCTTCTTCTCCATTCTGGCATCTTCAGCATATGTTGGGAACAGAGTTCTCAGGGGGGTTTTTCCACTATGACAGGGGTCTTCAAACTTGGCCCTTTTATGACTTGTGGACTTCAACTCCCAGAATTCCTCAGCCAGTGTGCCTGGCTGAGGAATTCTGGGAGTTGAAGTCCACAAGTCATAAAAGGACCAAGTTTGAAGACCCCTGCACTATGGCCTTTGGCTAGAAATTATAAGATTTGTAGCCTCAACCCATTAGAGGCCATCGGGTTGAGAAAAGCTGCTCTCAATGGACAGCGATTACAGTATACAAATCTTCATAGTGTTGCCTTCTTTGCAGATGGGGAAACATTGCCTTGGATGATGCCATCCAGTTTCATCACCTGGAAGTGGTGAAGTTGCTCAAGGATTATCAAGAAAACTACATATTGGGTTCCAGACAGGCCAAGGAAGCAGCCGAGGATCTCTCCAAGGAGAATTTGGAAAGTATGGTGTGAGAATGGTAGTTTCTATAGCTGCTTTGTTATCCCTGTTTTGACTGGTTCATCTCACTTCTGAAAGGAGTGTAACAGTAAACATACTATTGCTAAGGACTTGAAGAAGAAGAGAGAGACGTATAAAGAGAGCACTATATTCTTCTCATTCCAAACTCTTCCGCCCACTTGAGCAATGCGGAGTTGTTTGGCATTTTTCCAAAACAGTCTTGTACAAGAGACACTCTCTGGTGAACCTTGTATGAAAGTTCAGTACTACCCTTTGACAGCACAAGTAAAATTGATAAAATCCCCAGGAACCAAGTAACTTTTGGTGAGAAACCAATTTTAGCTTCAGAAAAAGGAGAAAAAGAATGCTCAACTGCCATTTTGGGTTGCCTGATAAAATCCAAGCAGCTATCACTATAAAGGCTGAATGCATTTAAGGAAAAAAGGGTTCTTCAATTTCTGTCTCTTTCAATTGTGTAACTTAACAAAACATTTCCTCTACTATGAATCCATCCTCTCCCTTGTCCAACCATTCCCCCACTAGGTACTTAAGCAAGAAGGGAAAACATACTTGTCTCTTAATGTTTTTAATGAATTCTGACTTTTGTCTGTCCCCACCTTCAAAAATAGCCAACCATTCCTGCTATTACAGCTTACACTCCCTTTCCTACACCCACACCATCCGGGAAAGCTGCAGGGCTATCTCATAATACAGTTATGCCACTGGAGGGTGTGGAGATACAACTGTTGCTTTTTAGGGAATTGAATTTTAAAGTGCAGCAGCTGATGACCAAATCAGAAATTTAATGCATCTATTTTGCTTCTTATTTTCATAAAAAAAAATGCATGATGTCAAATTTTGGTCATGTTATTTGATAGAATGGTGGGGGCTACAAAAAGGGGATGCAGTCTATGTGTTTTCCAGATCTGCCTTGCTTGCTAGAAGCCATACAATATATTCTGTACCTGGGAGCAAAACTTTTCAGTATACTGCACACCTTTTTTTAATTTAGTACTCTCATTTAATTTAGTACTCTCATTTAAGAAATGAATTACAGTGACATAAGGCACATACAGCAAAAAGAGGCAGGTAATCCTTGGGTTACAACAGTTCGTTTACCTGACCGTTCAAAGTTATAAGGCACTGAAAAAAGTAATTTATGACCGTTGCCGCATCCCCATGGTCACGTGATCAAAATTCAGAGGCTTGGCAACTGATTCATATTTATGACGGTTGCAGTGTCCTGGGGATCATGCGATCCCCTTTTGCGACTTTCTGATAAGCAAAGTCAGTGGGGAAGCCAGATTAACTTAACAGTTGTGTTACTAACTTAACCACTGCAGGGATTCACTTAACAACTGAGGCAAGAAAAAGGTCGTAAAAGGGGGCAAAACTCATTTAACAACTGTTTTGCTTAGCTATAGAAATTTTGGGCTCAATTGGGGTTGTAAGTCGAGGACTACCTGGACACATTTATCTCAAGCAATTCTTGGCATGTTCAAGAGATAATAAATTGGTAAAGATGTTAACACTTTTAAATCAAGAAGGCGTAGATAATAAGCCTTGCCCTAGCTTTTAAGGAAAGTCCAATGGCTTAAGAAGGAAATTAACTTGCAATGACTAAGTAACAAGCAGTAGGGAGTTTTCAAGTCTCCAATTCCTTCAACATTTGAAATGCTGAAGGTGTTACATGCACAAACGTCTCTCAAACTAACAACAAAAATTAGTCCAGTTGCAATGATTCAACCAGACAACTTCAGACAGCTTTCAGACAACTCTACCTGGATGATTGAGAATCTTCATCGACATGTTACACACACAGTCACAACATGACTGCTAAGATGCTTACAGCCGTTCCCAAACCTCCATTTTGAGAAAGCCAAACTCAAGAGGTTAAAAATAATCTACACAAGCACCAAAATGGAAAGCAAAAATGGGGAAATAGCTTTTCTACTTTTATCTTTGTTCTCTCATATTCTGGGTCACTACTTCAAACACTTGTTCACACTCCAATCATTCATTTCTCTCCTTCTCTCCTAAAATTAATCACATGTATAGGGAAAGATTCAGTCATTACCCTCATATATAGAACACTACTACCCAATCCTAAGCACATGCATTGCCACACAGGAAATAAGTCCCTCTTGAATTCCAGAGGGCTAATACGTGCAATCTTGCAATGTCCTTCTAACATGGCAAAAAACATTCCATCAGCTGCTTGAAATGCACTATCATTTTTCCTGCACGTATCTTTTCAGCAACCACTCTACTGCTCCAATAAAAGCATTCAGTTATTTTAGAGTAGAATGGCGAAATACCCGTCATAAATCAGTCACTATGGAACAGGAAAAACTGAAACCTTGAAGCAGTACAATGCTATGTTTCACTGTTGCTGCCAACCTGACATTCCTGCAGGGTTGGTAGACTACTTTATCTATACTTTTTAATTACTGTGTGCGTTTTTTTTTATCACAAGATTTCCAAACAGTGGATATTTTCAATCAGAAGTCCAGATAAAATAACATTTTGTTTTAGATGCTTTTATTTTTACTTATTACAATACGGTCAACAGAGCATACAGAACTGCTCTTGCTACATCCAACACCAAGAAAAAGAAAACACTGTTTAAATATCTGTTGATTTCAGCTAATTTTAACTATGGTGATTGTAATAAAACTGTGGCAAATTCTTTATCATTCCTTTTTCATGAATATATGTATCTGCAGATGTATATTGGGTTGATTCCTGTTCCTTCAACCAATCTAGTTACAGGATGATCTGGGGCTGGTATTAATAAAGTAATTCCTATAACATTAATTTGTGCACCATATTGTTTATGAATTCAGGAGAGTTGGATTTCCACTAGTCATGAGATGCCATCTGCTTAGTTCCAAGCTAATTTGCCTTCCCACCACACCAGTAGGAGGCAATAGTTCATTTGTGTTAAAAATCGCTGTTCTCATCAAAATGGAAATCTCTTCAAATATTTGAAAGCTTGAGCACATACTTCTAACAGGAAAAGGATATTTTATATAATTAAAAGGCATAAAGGTAAGGTATCAAATGGTGCAGCTGATCACACAGATAATTAGCTGCTTTTAAAAAGCTCATTTTTTTTCAAGCAACCCTAAGAAAATCTTTTCCTGGCAAAACCAAAATAGCAGTGCAAGATCAATGTGGCATAGTTTGTAAAGGATGGCAAATTTCACTCAAAAAGGCAAGAAAACAAGATGGTCTAAATGCGATGGTCCATTACTGAGTCAAATCTTACGACATGGCAAAATGAAATATATTTCAATCTGCTAGGAAGAGATATGGTATTTCCTATAAGGAGAGCGGGTCAGATTATGAAAACCTGAAAATCTCTGGATTGTAATATGGCAATAGCATTTTGGCAGAACTTGCTCTTCCAAGAAAAAAAATCTCTGTATCAACACTCTTGAATAGATTTCAACTTTGCTTGAGCTTCTCAGGTACATCCAGGCCTGAGTGGGTGAGCAGTTCACCATCCCAGAGAGCAAAGGCAGGCACCACGGGACCTCGGAACTCTGGCGACATATTGTGGATGAACATGTGTTGTCGTATATCTACCAAGCTGAATCTTTTGCGGTCATAGTCCAAGAACAGACCAACTCTTTCCGATTGGCCAATGTTAGTGATTGGAGTGGTTTCATTAGCAAACATGGCATTCCAGCAACGATTCCCATAGGCAAAGACCCAGGAATTGTCATCCATTCCTATGCAGACCTCCCGGGAGATGTCCACATCTGCCACCCCAATGCGGAACTGTTGTGATCGTTTCACCGTCACTTCCCAATAATGGCAGCCCCTGGAGATGGTGGTATCACCCAAAACTACAGCCCAGTCTCTGAAGCGTTCAGGGTTTCGAGGCACTCTGGTGGGGTCAATCCCCAGCATGCGATAGAGGACAGCAGTGTCCTTTTTGAATAAATCCAAGCTGCTGTGGGCTGTTTTCTCATCTAATTTGAAACTGATCTCTGAAATAAGAAAAACATGTATAAGGACCAAACATTTGCCTTACCTTTACATGTGACTCCTTTGTTTTTAAGAATTGTCTTCATAACTCGATAAAACAATTTACCAACTCCTATTGACAGGGGCACATTTCTATTAATCATTTAATCATGTTATATTTTGGCTAACTAGTCTTTCCAATCTGGTATCCTTCAGATGCTTTGAGAACACCCTGAATTCCCAACTAACACAGCCAAAAGGCCAAGAGTTCTAAGAGTTCCAGTTCAAAGTATCAGGAAGGTATGGGGCCAGGAAAGTTGTAATACATGATGATTAGTTTAGCAAATGCATCTCTTTCATTCAGTTAAATATACTTAGCTGATTAAGTTAAACTTGCATCAGTTTGCATACCGTTATAGTTCAAAAATATTTTTCCTTTAAATTACGCATCTGCACTTTATAACTGGAATTATTTCAGAAAAGCGTTGCTATAATATGTACATACGTAACCAACATTTTTAAAGATTTAATAATTAAAATTATTCCAAATGTCTGAAAATGGTATCCAACTACTGTAAATGACAATACATTAATAGCAAGCTTTATCAAGGACGTATATCTCCTGTAGGATTGATTCCCACAAGTACTGCAATTGTTAATATACTAATTTGGAAGGAATTCAGTATTTTGGAGTGGAATGCCCATCTATGCCCAAATCTTTCATAAATAAATTTATAAAACTTGTATGCTGACTGACTCAATGATTCTTGACAGCTCGCAATCTAAAATGTGAAATGTAGAGCAGAAAAGTGTAACCTATGAAAATGTAGCAGTATTGAGAAGCAATTTCAAGACATTATCTGATAACAAACAATATTTAAAAAGAGTTATAGTTACATCTCACTGGAATTTCACCTGTCACCAAATAAAGACTTTTATTTAGTAAATCAATTTTTATGGACATCCACTTTACTGATGAAATTTTGTGTGGTTCATAACACATTACAAAAAATAAAAGAACAGTATCAACAGAACATTTAAAAAACTGATATAGTAGCTGGACTATCTAACATTCTGCTCCCATGCTCTGGAGCACATCTACTTCTTCAATGCTTTACTAAAAGATGGTAAGATCAAAGCCAATCTAATCTTGAAGGGGGGGGGAGTGATGGCATTTCAGAAGGCAGAAGCTATAATTTATTTGTAATAATTATTTTTCCATGTCAGCATATATAAAGATGGAAGATTTTTTAAAATTATGGACAAGTAACCAGTCATTGGCAGAATAATAGTGTATAATAGTAATTAATGGCCACCTGATTCCAGGACAATTTTGAAGGCTATCTACTGTATGCTAATTGGGAATAGATCTGCCAATTGTTACTGATTCTAACATACTTTCTAGGCAAAACTGTTACCCATAGCAATGAGCTAGATTATAAAAACAAAGTGGAGCAAAATATAAACAAGTGAACCACTGGTAAAGCAACAAAAATTGAAAAAAATTAAATTGCCCTCCCAAATAAGTTTCTAGTGCATATAATGAATATAATGAATTATGTGAGAATAGAAAGCTGTCAGCTCAACGGAACAGTTTAACATCAGAAAGTTTTTTAAAACATATGTATCACTCCCGTTTATTGCATATATTTAATTAAAGACTTTAATATTCATACCACCTCTCTAAGTAAGTTTACTTGGAAACAATCTCAATGAAATTTAAGATGGTTATGAGTAGGTTCAGTTCACGCTCGGATTTGCATTCACTTGAAAAATACACATTTTCCCAAGCTAGAAAAATCTGCACTTTCCCCGATTGCCTATTTAATCCTGGAGCCCTGCCAATAATTCCGCTACTAAAAGAAATAAACTGATAATCGCCTCAACAAAAAGTACTGTCGGATCAGGTCCTTTAATCTAAAAAAAAAAAGAAAAAAGCGGATCCTACTAACAGAAAAACGTCCATGCATCCTCATCTTAAATCCACTGAATTTCTTTTATGGAAATTGAAGAGATTTTTACTATTTAATTTATACTGCTCCCGAAATAGCGAAAGGCACAGAACCACCTTAAAGGAGTAAATCTGAGCGCCAGACAGGTGGCCAAAGTCTTGAAGGAACGAAAGAAGCCCTGGGAGTGTTGGCTGCAGCGTTAGCCGCTCACTGAGACCAGCCAGTTTCTATTACGCAAAGGAGAAAAAAAATCTACCTCTCCGGAACATCTGGTGGTATCCGACACTGCACAAACCCCAGCCCTGACCTCTCATGCCTCTCAGGATGGGCGCCGCCATATTGACATTCATAGGTCACGTGAAACTGGCGGTCTGAAGATAAATATAGGAGCCATCTTGGAGGAGGGCATAACTAAGCCAACCTATAGATGACGACCGCCATCTTGAAATTCAAAGGGCTGGATTGTTGATACCGAATGCGTTTTAGGAGCCGCCATCTTATTTTAGGGCGCGGCATCTTCAGAAAACATCCCCGTGGAGCCATTTTAATCTGAAAAGAAGCTTCTTTTCCAATATAGACTATCTGGTATCACGTGCCTAGATTGATTAGCGGCATGTAGAAGTAGGCCAATTTACTGTGAGAGAGGGAAGAAAAAAAGTTTATATCGACTTTAAATCTATACTACGTTAAAAACGCAAACGGAGTTTTGTAACATTTTCATTAGACAAAATGATTAAAAATCTAAAAGGACAGGAACGAAGGAAGAACATGCTTCTATGGTTTGGAATATAGGTAGTCCTCAAGTTACAGCCACAATTGAGCCCAAAATTTATGTTGCTAAGTGAGAATTTTGTTAAGTGAGTGTTGCTCCATTTTACGGTTTTTCTCGCCATATTTGTTAAATGAATCACTGCAGTTCTTTAATAACATGATTGTTAAGTGAATCTGGCTTTCCCATTGACTTGTCAGAAGGTCGCAAAAGGGGATCACATGACTCCGGGATACTGCAACTGTCATAAATGTGAGTCAGTTGTCAAGCTTTCAAATGTAAATCATGTGACCATGGGGATACTGCACTGGTCATGAGTGTGAAAAATGGTCATAAGTCACTTTTTTCAGTGCGGTTGTAATTTCAGTCACTAAATGAACTGTTGTAAGTCAAGGACTACTTGCATCAGAAAAAAATTACATGCCTGAAAATCCAGCAATTCTATTAATATAACAAATTTGAAAAACACATTTATTGAAATGGCAAGTTTTTTAAAAAAAATAATTGTATAAAGAATGATTAAATTTGGGAACCAAAGGTATTTTTTAGTTGATCCTTCGTCTCATAGCCAAAAATATATTGCCCAATACCTCAATTTCCATCTTGTAAGTTCATTAAGAAACTGAATGTCTGGAGAAGGAAAGGTTAGTTTTTGTTTTCCTAAAGCAATATTTTAGAAAGATTATGTAATTCAAATCTGGGGATGATTTTAAAATGGACCAGTTGCTCTCTCTGCCCACCTCACAGGGTTGTTGTTATGGGGAAAATAGGAGGAATGTGTGTTGGACAAAGAAAGGGAAGGGAAGAGACTGAATTATATATAAAAAGACCTAGGAAATACTGGTGGACCCCAGCCAAGATGAAGAAGTAGTGTGATGGACCAAAGACCTCAGCTGCGTTATAAAAAAAGTATTGAATTCCCAGAATTAATTATTCCTTTGAAAAGTGTGCTGATTAGATCACCCTTGGAGTATTGAACACCATCCCTTAAAGAAAATTTGGAGAAACTAGAGTGGATCCAGATGAAAGTTGCCAAGAGGCTCTGGAAATCCAATCTTACAAGCAACAATTAAAAGCCCTAAGTATGTTTAGCTTGCCCAAGAGAAGCCTAATGGAAAATATTACTTTAAAATATCTAAAGGCTATTACAGTGGTGGCGAACCTATGGCATGCGTGCCAGAGGCGGCACTCAGAGCCCTCTCTGTGGGCACACACACCATGCCCCAGAGATGGCAAAGTCCCTTTTCAACCAGCCACCCGCTAACTCGCCGAGGTCCCACATGGCCGGATGCATCCCGGCATGGCTGATTTCTCTCCCCCCTGTCCCATCCCTCCTGGTCTTGCATGCTCTCCTTTTCCTGGGCACGACCCACTGCATCGCCTCCTCAGCTGTCGGCTGGCCGTCCAGCTCAGAGGCGGCTTCTCTGAACTGCTGGCAGTGGGCTGCGGAGCCCCAGAGTGCACCGGTTGAGGGGCTGGCTGATGGACACTGTCGGCCCCCATGCACTCACTGGCCTCCGTGTGCAGGGGATGATGGTGTCAGGCAGCAGCTGTCCCGACCCCTCCCTCACCTTGCCCCGCGGCAATGGCACCCTTGCCCTGCCTCGTCTCACCCCGCAGGACGAGCCCATCTTGGCCACACCCTCCCAGTCTGCCATGACCACCACAGCCACGCCCACCCAGTGAGCCACGCCCACTGGCACCCGGCGATAAATAAGTGGGTTTTGGGTTGCAGTTTGAGCACTCGGTCTCTAAAAGGTTCGCCATCACTAGGCTATTATATGCAAGAGAGGGGCAGTCTTTTCTGTGTTGAAATCAAAAGCAGGACAAGGAGCAACATGCTGAAATTTTTAAAAAAGGGCACTCAGGCTGAATATTAGGAGGAATTTTCTGATTAAGCAATGGAACTATCTACTGCAACAGTCTCCAGCCTTTTTTGCAGCAGTGGTTGGTTTCTGAAGAAGACAACTTTTCCACAGATCGGATGATTCCGTGTGCTACCTAATTCCCTTGCATACACAGATGCAGCTTTACTCACTTCTGCGGCCCAGTTCCCAACAAGTTACAGACCAGTACCCGTCTGCTGCCTGGGGGTTTGGGGACCCCTGATCTACTATGCACAGACTAGGGATCAACTCCATGGCTGTGGGTTTTTAAATACAACTGGATAGCATTTGTGAAGGATCATCCAATAGAATTATTCTGCATAGAGTAGAAAATTGGAGTACATGACCTATAACAGTGATGGCAAACCTTTTAGAGACTGAGTGCCCAGACTGCAACCCAAAACCAACTTATGCATCATCGAGTGCCAGGTGGGTGTGGCCCATTGGGTGGGCATGGCCCATTGGGTGGGTGTGGCTGCAGTGGTAATGGCAGACTGGGTGGGCTAAAAAGTTCAATCAATCAATTCCAACTTTGCAAGATCTTTTTTTTCCCCGCGAGAAGTTGAAATTGACTGATTGAACCCCCCTTTTTTTTTGCACATGGTGGAGGCCTAAAGCGAAAAGGTTTTATAAAACCCAGCTGAAGGCCTAGGACTGGGGCGACAGTGCGCGTGCCAACAGAGAGGGCTCTGAGTGCCGCCTCTGGCACCTGTGCCATAGGTTCGCCACCACTGACCTATAAAGTCCTCATATATTCTAGGATTGTTGCATTATGAGATCTTTATAAACCTTTCCTTTATGTTATTTTTCCAATATAAATTACTTTCCCAAGATGTTTATTTTCTGTGGGGGTGGGACAAAGTGATGTTTTTTTGACCAATCTTTTAAAGAAAAGAATGGTTACTTTTGGCAGCCATAGAGAAATCTTCCTGGATTTCAGGGACTGGATTGTACTACAATTTTTTTACTGGTTTCTTGCTGAATCAACAACTAGAAATGTACAGCTTGCTCTTGCTTGGCTAGCAAAACTAGTGTTAAATTAATTCAGCAGCAACTTATTCCTTTTTCTCATGGGTTGCATGCAAGAAGCAGTATTGTGTATGAAGAATAATTAATCCTGTCATTCTAGAAAGAAATAATTTGGTAAAGCAGCAGCATCTTTTGGATGGATCTTTTAATATTCATTGTGCATGCTTCATTATAATAATTTGACAAGGCACTAGAGATGTCTAACATAGAATCCTCTAGACAATACCAAGGTGATACAAAGCCTGTCCTCATTACTGATATATTGGTACAGCAATGGCTGGAGAATTTATAGGATGCAATAAATCATTAGTATGAAAATGACAAACATTGTTAGTCCATATTTTTGCCCTTATCCAAGATAATCAAAACACAATAGCCCAACAAAAGTTCTATATACTTAGTGTAGTATGGTACTGTAGTTCTGAGGTTCATGAATCTTCCTCTGGCTTCCCTTGCCCACTCCTCTAAACAATTAAATGATGAAGATATGCAGATGTTTTATGCATCAGTGCATGCATTTTCAATTAGGATTTGGGGTTTCACTGTTACAGTACACTGTAATATGGGCGTGTGTATTACATTTACACTGCAATGTGTGGTAGTATAAAAATACAATACTATATAGAAAATAACAGAATTCTTGCTTTCTTCAAAATGAATCTGCTTCACTTGAATTTGTACATGAAGTTCTTGTAATACTTGTGACACTTCTCCACTTAAGATTGAGGGTCATCTTGAATTTGCAACTCCAACTCAAAGAGCAGGTGGCAGCTATAGCAAAGAGGCCTCCATTTAGATTCATCTAAAGCACCAATTGTGCCTGTTCCTAGGTTAGGAGGCCTTTCAGAGTCCAGTTGCCTCACAAATGCACTACTGCAAAGTGCTTGGGACTGTCCTTCAAGACCACTTTGAAGCTACAGCAGATCTAGAACATGGTGGTACAGCTAATAAGGGGCATGCCTTAGAATAGCCACGTAACAGCACTGCTCCATAAGATACACAGTCAAACTAGAGCAGTGGTTCTCAACCTGTGGGTCGGGACCCCATTTGGGGTCGATCGACCATTTCACGGGGGTCGCCAAGCAAGGCTGTCCGCCATTTTTTTTGTCTGCCATTTTTTTGTCCGCCATTTTTTTTGCCCTTTTCCGGCGGGTGCCTTACCTCCCTTGGGCTGGGCCAGCTGGTGGTCGGCCTGCTCCGTCTCTGCCGCTTGCCAGCTACGCCTCGGCTGGTGCAGGAGGCGGAATCACGCATGCGTGGCGCTCCCGGGCAGGGAAAGTCCTCGACTTACGACCGGTTGGGTAGTCCTTGACTTACGACTGGTTTAGTCCTCCACTTACGACCGGTTTAGTCCTCCACTTACGACCGGTTTAGTCCTCCACTTACGACTGGTTGGGGTCGCGGCATTAAAAAGGTTGAGAACCACTGAACTAGAGTCTTGGACTTCAAGAGAGCTAATTTCAATAAACTTAGAGAGGGCTTGGGAAGGATTCCATGGATGAGAATCCTCAAGGGGAAAACAACACAGGAAGCTTGGGAAATTTTGAAAAGTGAGATAATAAAAGCCCAGTCTAGCACAATACCAACAAAGAGGAAAAATAACAGCTCTCAAAAGAAACCAGCATGGCTGCATAAAGAACTCTCTGACAAATTGAAAGATAAAA